AGATTGAGAAAATTGTTTTTTAAATGGTATCTTTATGCATGTAGCACATTAACAAGGTAGTCTCTGAGTAACATAAGAAAATAAATATTGAAATAGTATATAAAACCCTAATAATAGGGAATTTTATACATCAGCATTCCTTATGATTATTCTAAAAGCGTAGTATGTCAGTTTTATGTTGAAAATACACCAAATACAAACATGCTTCAATCCGTAGAATAGAGTTATTACTTGCCGTTTTTAAAGATCACTGTGATATAATACTTAGAACCCTGCTTCTTAATCCCCTTCTTGTAGCAAGGTTCACTTCTTGCAGTGTGATAGCAGAGATTCCTATCAATAAGATGGAGTCATATTGATGTCAGTTACAAAAATATCCCCTTTTGTAGATGGTACAAATAGTATATAATTTTCCATTTTTATTTTTATGTCTGTTGTGGTTTCTGACGTTGTTTCATTTTATTGCCTTTTTCATGTGCATGTTGTATTTTGTCATGGTGAGTGTAGAAAATCTTCTACAATTTTATTTATTGAGGAATATATGTAAGACCATCTTTATGTTTATAACTTAGAAAAAGTGAACATTTTTATCAGAATAAAAATCCAATGCAAAAGGCTATAAATTTAAATGTTAGGAGAGTTCAAGTAGGACAACCAGATTTTACTATATTCAAAGGACTTTTATTTTCTGAAAAAATATAAAATTTAATATAGTACACTACAAAAACATGTATACAAACTGAAAGCTCACAGAGATGCGGATGGGAACTAAGACAAAAACGCTCATCCTTCCTTGAATATACTTTGAATCAGCGACATCAGATAACTTGACGCCTACTGAAGAGTCAGATAGGCCTCACTAACGTCTCTGATTTGCCTGAAACTAAGTGATTTTGATAAACATATTAACAAAGGACAGAGTCTGACTTTAGTCTCAGACTATTAAAAATGCATTATATATTTATATATCTTCTTTTAAATAATTAATTGCAAAACTACAGTAGTCTAAATATTCACATATAGTTGACCACTCAAACCAGTGAATCTAGCACCCAACTTGAAAAGATGGGACATATTTTTGCCAACTTTACTTTTTTCAATAACATTGAGAAAAGGAACTTGAGTCATTATTATAAACACACTTTTAAAAAAAGAAATAGCAGCTTTTTCTAAGTGACAATTACATGGTCATTCTGAATAAGAACATTCAACTATTGATGTGTGAAAGACTTATAAATTAACAAGAAATGAGAAGAAAATTCTTATCTATTTCTTTCTTGATACATTACTATATAATTAACAGCATAATAGAGCAAAAATATTCAATGTAACCAGCTGTGCTATAGCATTGCGATAAAATGATGACTTATTCGAGCTATCAAATTTCAAATAAAGCTACCATTATGATTCTGTTCATTTGTTCATTATTATCTCCATTGTCATCATATTGTCCTTACTTCTTATTTACACTGAGGTTAAACATCTGGCAAAACTTAAACAAAGATTGTTTATTATCACATTTAGTTTTCCCTCCTAATTTTTAGCAAGGACAAAATGAGACAGAGATATTTTCTACTATGCAACATTGTATACCTACTAAGACTCTAACACCTGACACTCTTTGCCATCTAATGTACCATACAGCCAAAACACTTTCCAAAGATGAATGTTTCTCATTGTGCTTCTGAAAACTCACTTCAATAGACATACAAATATCTTTCACTTCCACATAGAATTCAAATAGCAGACATGCAAATGTGTAAGTGCTCAATCGATTTTAACAGCTCCACTTTAACATGAGATGTGAAAGTTGTATCTCTTTTTATTACACAGAGGTTAGAATTGTTTCATAAAATAGTAAAAGGTGTTTTGCATTATTTTTGAAAACTTCCAAAATGAATAATTCTAGACATGCTTAAGTTTTGATAAAATATTTCTGTGTAAATTATACAATGATTCCATTACTTTAGAATGCTGAGTTGAGTAATAAAATACAGGAATTAAAAACCATGCACATTACAGTTTTCAAATGCTGAAAATTAGTATCTTTACATTTTAACATATCATTATTACATTTCAGAGAGATCATTTATTTTTGTCAGACCCATACTAGTGAATGGCATGATTAGATATAAATTATGATTGATAAACATAGTAACTGAATGACTTCAAATAGAACCAGTCAGTTCAGAGCAATTCCCTGTCAGACCCTCTTACAATACAATTATATATCATTTTACATATCAATTGCGTGTATGAGGATTATGGAATCTATTCTTTAGATTTGGGAGCCGGTGGGTAAGAAAATGAATCCACGGGAAAAGAATCCGCACCACTGGAATTTGCCAAGTACGATGCTGAGTGACAGACTCACTACATTTTACGAGAGCAGGCTCCTCTCCCTCATCCACTTCTCACATTTCTAGATGAGATTGACACTTTCCAATTGGTGACATGTCCAATGGTGAACAAATATTTTAGAAAGGCATTCTTTCCTCTCTGGGGGGCAGAGCACATATAATTTAAAAGTCTATCTGTTCTAAAATCATATTGACATTCTTTAGAAACTCTCAACCAAATTCTAGATGTGGATGAAAGCTGTGTGACCATACAACCTTCCTCAGAATTACTTTCCCAATGTAACACTTGAATGGTAAAGGAAAAAAAGCAAATTTGATTAAAAATAAGTTATATTTTATTTTGAGAAAGCGAAAATCATCACTCAAACTGCTAGCCACTTACATATAAGTGACATACCAATAATCTCTGAACATACAGAGTTATCAAACAATGCATTGTGTGTATTGTGTTTATAGCCATATAGTTGTGGCTAGTACAAGCTCTAACATGTGCATTTGTAAGCATTTGTTGCTATGAAGTTCTCTAAATTATTTTATTACTAATAAATAAATTTTCAAAAGTAGAGTATAATAAAATCTTCAATTATTTTGTTCGATAGGAATTAGTTTTAATGATCTTATGTTTTTTTAATTGTATAAATGCATTTTTTTGATGATATCTATCTGCGACTTTTAACTAGACAGTATTACACTGCTCCTTTCAATATTTTCTAAAAATTTCACTAAAGTAATAGAGATTTCTAGAATGCAGTGTGGACTTACAAATACTTTGTTGTTGTTTTGATCTTTCATTATTCACTAAAAAAGAGAAAAGGATGGGGAAGAAAGAAAAAGAGGAAGGGAGGGAGGGAGAGAGAGAGAGACAGAGAGACACAGAGAGACAGACAGAGAGAGAGAGAGAGAAAGAGAGAGAGAGAGAGTCTGCTTCACAATTGCTTTTCTCATTGGGTTAACACTGAAGAGAAACACAAGGGCAAGGACTAAGGCTCACAAAACCCTGACACCTCTCCTGCAGATCTCACTCCTCTTACATGCTTTTACCAAGTTAGCACTGAAAGTCGTCTTTTAAATCCTCTGCTCCTCAATCACCACATACTATTCTCCTGATTTTAGAGGTGTAACAACATAAAATTTTGTTCATGTCACTATCACGCTCACTTTTTTGAACATCTCAATAAACAGTGTGAACTTTACCTCAAATGACAGCCCTTGACTGGTGTAATATATAACATGGACTGAAGGAGTATTTTATATTACTGAACCAGTCTAATTTCTTAATACTTTTCATTGATTCTTTACAGTACAATCAAGGTTATGCAATGGTGGACAGAATGTAATTAAAATGTAAACAAGGAGTTATTACTTACAAAAGAACCTTGAAACAAAAATATGAGTCACAAAACATCCCCCCCTCCGCCTCCCTTTGTACTGATGAGTCACAATGGCAGTGACTACAAGGAAGAGCACAAAGGGAGACATTGAGAGCCCCCGCCTGGATCCCAACAGAAGCCAGCACACTCAGAACTCTACAGCTCACATAAATGTGCCCTAGTGTCAAAGTTGCTGGAGAAAATGTTTTCTGGAACTACATTTAGGAAGGTGTAATTTCACAGTAGGGCATAAAACTATCGACTAGAACTTCTTAGTCAGAGACAGTGGAATGTATTTGTAAGAACACAAAAGGATTTCACCTTAGACGCATTAGCTGTTTAACTAAACTAAATAGTTGCTTTCAAAATGAGAGAAAACCAACATCGACTTGAACTGGATTTTGTTATACTGTTTCCTATTTCTCTTATTCATATTACAGCATAGAGCACCCTTTCCTGTATACTTCCAAAATTAAAATACCATAAAAAGGCAAGCAGAACAATATCATATGCATATTCAAACACACACACATACATACACGCACACACAAAGACACACACAAATCCAAGTTTAGTCAGTTCCTGGCCATATTATAAACTATACATACAGTATATACACAATCATTATCTAATGTTCTCTAGAAGAGCAACTACAAGTAAATCATGTAATACAAAAAGATAAATATAGACCCTGTATTGAACTTTTCCTTGACCAAGCAAAATGTTCATATACTATTTTCTATAACTTAACATGTAATTGCATTTGAAATTACAAACTGCTTTTAAGGAATAATCTAATCATATTGCTCTTCAATACACTATGTAGACAATTAAGAGTTGAAGTAAACGTCAGTGAAATGCAGCTTTTCTTAGCCCACACATGGCTTTAAAACTTTTCCTTTCAAGTAGATCCCTGGAAGCTTTGAAAGGGGCTACCTTAACAGTCTGTAAAGGTGCCGTGTTCTTGATATATTTTATGTACTAGATTCTGTGGAAGTAATGGGGGAAGGATTGAGTTACTATTTTATTATAGAATGTTTATCTCCATGTTTCCACTCTATGCAGGTTACATTTGTTCATAAAACGAAGACAATAAGAGGAAGATATGGATATTTTAGTAAAATATCGATTACAAATTCAACGGCTGAGGCAAATGCCTCCAGAGGTTTAGATATCACCCTTTTCCCTTTTCTCCTAAAATTGTTAAAAGAAATCTCAGGGCTGTTTACAAAGTGCAGAGTTGTTCACTTGGAGAAGTGACACACAGAGGTCACACTGGCACCATCCCATTTACCAGCTGCACCTTCATCTCTTGAAGGCTGCTCATGATCTTCTTCTGGTGACCGACCAGAGTCACTCCCAGGCGCCTCAAGTCCCTGCATGAAGAAAGCACACATTGGATGTATGTATTGATTCAGTTTGTAGCACACCTCAATATTTCACGCTGGCAAAGGGGCACATGTTTTGTAAGAAGTAACACAAAATAGTGACAATCTTAGACAGTCACAGTCCAGCTTTCAAAGTGTGTTCTAAAACTTAAAAAGATTATATTTGCATAAAAAATGTACACATTTATGCCTGCAGATGAAAACCCTAATTTAAATGGTACATAGTCATGAAAAATAAATGTATATATCTTACCAATCAATTCTAAATACAGTAGGTACAGTTTCATTGAACAGCATAGAAAATGTGATCCTAAAATAACATCAAACAGCACTTTTGCTAAAAGAAATGTAAAAGGTAAGTTAGATTTTAACACCTTATCAATTGAAGGTTGAAGTATTTTGGAGTCTGATTTATTCCGTGCAGCCATCATACATGACAGATAGCCTTACACAATAATCATTCTCACAGTGTTTTTGTAACAAAGTTTGTGTCATTTTTTACTTTGGGTTCAAAGTGCCAGAGTTTCATCTTCTACCAAATCATACATCAGCTTTTATTTTTTTTTTGACATTTAGAGAATTCTGAAGACTATACAAAAATAATTGAATTATACAAAAGAAATCTTAAAATGTTTGTATTTCTAAAATCATCTTATGGAGCAACTAAAACAAGCATATAAATTTTAAATGCCATTTCATAGACTTTAAAAAGAAATTATTCCTTAAAATAGTTTTTGGACAAATACAACCAATTCACATAATTGGAAAATTTTATGAACTAATTTTAAGAAAAATTAACTTATGACTCACAATTCTAAGTGGCTAATTGTCTAGAATTCCTTAGGAAATCACCTTGCTAAAGACATTAATCTAATAATTTCCATTGTTTGTATCTAGTGTCTTAATTTTAATTTTCTTAGCTATTCAATAGGAGTAAAGACAAAGACAAGATCATGATAAGTAAAACAGTATTTTCAGGCAACACAAAGTCTCTGCTATGAAGAAGATTGAACACCTTGGCTTCAACCTTGTCAGCCTTGGAAAGAATCATCTACTAAGATTTTTATAATGCTTGTCCTTCGTACGGTTTCTGAATTTTTTTATGAGAATTTTAGAAATGAGAAACAACCAAGATATCACTCATACTTATGACAGTAAAATGTTTCTTTTTTTTTACAATTTGGATATTGACATTAATTACAAGATTTCAGCAAACTATATAAAAATAATAATGACTGATGAGGTTTGTAATAAAAACATCAGCAGAATATAGATTCAGCAGAAATGTACTCAGAAACAAAGACACCATTGTTATCATAGTAATAGGTAATAGAGAATTAAAGTACAAATAAAAATAATTTGGCTCTATTTTTTTTTTCAAATTAAATTGGCATTCTCACGCTTGACATTAGCTAGGTGAATCTAAGCCATTAAAGGCTACTCTATTTATTGTAGGTTACTTAACAGACTTCCTGGCTTCTGTTGAACAGATATTAGCATACAAGGGGAGACTCCTCATTGTGACAGGACATAATTCTTTAGACAGTGATGAGTTCCTAATGGAGACACTCTTCATATTGAAAACCACATCATTAAATGTAAGAATAACCAGTGATGTTTAATAATCATCCAGTTTCTTGGTACTGTAATGTATTTAATGGTAACACATAATATAACAAATTTTTACCTTATGGACGAAAAAACATAGACTTGGAAAATTTAAAACATTCATCTGTAGAGCACATCAGTAGGCATCTGACTAAAACTAGAAACCAAAGTTTTAAATCCAAACTGTAATTTCTCACTGCTTTTAGGGGTGATTTTGGTAAAAATAAATAAATAAATAAATACGAAAAAGAAAAGAAAAGAAACACTGAAAGCATAATTGAATATGGAAAATCCCCAAAGAACTGGACACATTTTGTTGTTGTTGTGACTAAAGTGGTATACTGAATCTACATTAAAACATAGTTTGCATTGTTGGGTAATTCTGATTATTCTATATGTTTCATGAAAAATTGTAAAGTGAATGTTTATCGGTGTTTCCTAGCAAAGTATAGATCACAGCCAGGACATAAAGAATTTAATTTTGAGCTTAGAAAAATCAGTTTCTAGTAAAAAAAATAAATTAAATTGAGATTAGAAATCATATTTTAAAATTATTTTTGTCAAATGTATTGTAAAATTCTAAGTGATACATCCAAATACCAAGGGCATGTCTTTATTTAAATTGCATATGCATTTAAGTTACATAATTCATACTTACTCATGTAATCAGTAGAAACAACATTTAAAAGATAACAATTACATTTTCTTGCAATGTCTTAAAACCCCAAATGTATTGGTTTTCCAACTCAAATGACATGGACTATTCCATGTAACACTATTTTAAAGGGTTTGTCTGTGTATATATGTTTGTGCCACATTGTGATTCTTAGCAGGAATGACATTTAATCATTATATATGTAGCTTTGTTAAAGCTGATACAATTAAAATTTATTTGTTCAAAAACTACTGATTACAAAAAAATCTAAAATGTCAATATATAGAGTATGTTATGCTGAAAAAGGAATGTTTTGAAGAATTGCATTTGGTTACTGAATTTGGTTACATTGTTTGTATTTATGAAAGTCAAAATTTATTTCTCTTTTTAAGTGTTACAATTAAAGTTATATACGATCATACTTAGCTAGAAACTTTCATATAGATTTTAAGTTAAATTTACCCTAATCTTTCTGGTTAAAAACACATAAAATAGCCTTTCAATATTGATTTATTATCTGATACTCTACACACTCAGGCATATGGTCAGAACACTGAAATTTTTTCCATCCTCCTTTGCCCTCTCTTTTCCTTTTTCTCATTTTTTGTCATTTATTTCACCATGCAAGAAAACAAAATTACAAAAACGAAGTATTACATTTTAGAAATTGTTGCAAATAAGTAATCTTTTGTAGAGTTCTGTGGCAATTCTTTAAAACTGATTTGTTACATTAATACTTATGAAAGTTATATATAAAGAAACAAATCAGTATATGTTTGTAATAAAAATATCCATAATGTCCTTGATTAATAAAAAAAAAATAGAACAAGCATTTATGCAACTTAAACTGTTCTCAGACAATGCCTTGGAGAATTAAGTTGCTGCTGGAGATAATTATCTGTAGCTTGAATAACTTTCTTCCAATACTGAAAAATGCATTAAAGTATTGGAAATAGTTTCATCTCACGCATCTGGTTATTTCAAACAGTTTGTTTTATTTTTGTTTTCCTTTATGAGTATATATATGTATACATACATATATATTCATATATAGGTACATGTGTGTGCACATATACTCACGTGTTCCTGTGTTTGTGCATGTGACATATGTATATCTATACTCAACTCTGTAGACATATATGGTTACCAGAGGCTGACATCTGGGTGTCTTCCTAAATTGCTTATCTACCTTATTTACGTTCATGTATTCATTCATTTATTGAACTAGGTCCATCACTGAACCTAGAGTTTGCTTCTGCAGATAGACTGAAGAGTGAATACCCTGGGATTGGCCTGTCGCTGACACTCAAAAATTGCTTTAAAAACACTTGCTGCCATATACGGCTTTTATGGGGGGTATTGGGTATCTGAATTCATGACAGCTCAGAAAGTACTTTAGCCAATAAGTCATCTCCCAATCATAACAGATTCTATTTTACTGTCTTCTACATATCTAACGTGGGCAGATTCGTAATAATAATTACATTGTGTCTGACAAGGAAATGACTCCACTCTGGTACAGTGACTTTTGGAAGGAAAAAATTTTGGATGGTTAAGGATACACTTTTTGTCCTGTTTAACTGTGCATCTAAGACGTGCCATGTTTGAATAGTTTTAGCTGTAGCCTCTTTATACACATTGCATTGCATTGTGACCTCTTGAAATCCGAACAACACATGAGGATGTTTCTAGTGCTGATACAACACCCTTAAGAACAGATATACAAGCTGGGAGATGGTGGCGCACGCCTTTTATCCCAGCACTCGGGAGGCAGAGGCAGGCAGCCTGGTCTACAGAGCTAGTTCCAGGACAGGCTCCAAAGCCACAGAGAAACCCTGTTCCAAAAAAAAAAAAAAAAAAAAAAAAAAAAAAAACAATCTT